TCGCGCGTCTCGCGCGCGCGCCTCTCGTTGCTCGCGCGCCTCGCGCGCGCACATGTGAAATGCTCGCGCGCTCGCGCTGCGCACCCCGCAGCTGGTGAGGCACCATATATGAATTCATATGTTTTGAATCAAGCCAAGTTATATATAACTAGCATAAACCCTAGTTATTCTAGTTATAAACCAACTGAGCTATCGAACGGGGCACCAAATTGTAGTGAAATTGGTGAAATTTGCCCCAACTTCGCCATCATAAACCAGCTATAAAATCGATAAATCCCCATTTTTGTTGGTTAAACGGTTAAATCACCATTTTTCCATGGTTTCCTCATGGGTTTTCCCATGGTTCCCCCACCATTTCCCCATGGTTTCCCCTATCGTCGCCCAAGGAGCCAGGACTCGAAGATACAATCAGGTCCCAGGTCATTGGCGTCCTGTGTTGGTGAATTCAGCCAGCGTCAGCAGATCGACCCCTCGATGTTTTGGACATTTAAACATGATTAAACAATCCCATGACGGATCCATGGTGCTGGTATATATTCTAACATAAAGGGGGTATATTGATGGGATCCATGTTACCATATATAATATACATGGATCCTATGGGAATGTATGTGTATAGATATGATTGATGACATATATATATATAATAATAATAATTAGTAATAGTAATAATAATATAATTATGTAATATTTCCCACAGGCACCGTGTGTTGCCCAGACCCACAACTATGATGTTAGATGATGTTAGATGATGTTGGTTGATGATGATGATGATGATGATGATGATGACGAGCGCGATCGCATCGCTTGGCAAGCAGCCAGTGCCCAGTACAACTTGTGAACCCAGTATAGGCTGGGTGCGGCAATCAAGAAATAGATCATAACATGTTGAGATATCCTAAGAGATTAAACACTGCCACTCCCTCTGAACTATATATTAAAATTAGGAATAACATGAAACTTGATCTTCATGTCATTATGAGGGATTAAAATCCGCCACCCCCTTGAACTCTATATTGAAATGGGAAATAACATGTAAGATATCTTCATATAATCATGAGGGATTAAAACCTGCCACCCCCTTGAACTATAGATTAAAATGGAAAATAACATGTCAGATATCTTCATATCATCATGAGGGATTAAAATCTGCCACCCCCTTAAACTCTATATCGAAATGGGAAATAACATGTCAGATATCTTCATATCATCATGAAGGATAAAAACTCCGCTACCCCCTTGAACTCTATATTGAAATGGGAAGTAACATGTCAGATATCTTCATATCATCATGAGGGATTAAAATCTGCCACCCCCTTGAACTCTACATTGGAATGGGAAATAACATGTCAGATATCTTCATATCATCATGAGGGATTGAAATTTGCCACCCCCTTGAACTATAGATTGAAATGGGAAATAACATGTCAGATATCTTCATATCATCATGAGGGATTAAAATCTGCCACCCCCTTGAACTCTATATTGGAATGGGATATAACATGTAAGATAAATTCATATCATCATGAGGGATTGAAATCTGCCACCCCCTTGAACTATATATTGAAATGGGAAATAACATGTCAGATATCTTCATATCATCATGAGGGATTAAAATCTGCCACCCCCTTGAACTCTACATTGGAATGGGAAATAACATGTCAGATATCTTCATATCATCATGAGGGATTGAAATTTGCCACCCCCTTGAACTATAGATTGAAATGGGAAATAACATGTCAGATATCTTCATATCATCATGAGGGATTAAAATCTGCCACCCCCTTGAACTCTATATTGGAATGGGATATAACATGTAAGATAAATTCATATCATCATGAGGGATTGAAATCTGCCACCCCCTTGAACTATATATTGAAATGGGAAATAACATGTCAGATATCTTCATATCATCATGAGGGATTAAAATCTGCCACCCCCTTGAACTCTACATTGGAATGGGAAATAACATGTCAGATATCTTCATATCATCATGAGGGATTAAAACACGCAACCCCCTTGAACTCTATATTGGAATGGGAAATAACATGTAAGATATCTTCATAAAACTGCCGGAAACGTCCCGGTAAATCTCCGGGCAACACACAGCGCTTGGCCGTAATATTATATGTCTATATACTATGATTTTCCGTGACTGCCTGAGATTGCGGATTACACATTTTCAGACTTGTTGGAGTTCAACACAAACAAACATTGGGTTACAAACAAACAATGTGGGAACATCAGGGCATCTCCGAAGCCAGATGATCAATCGGGATGCTGATGCCCAAATGCCCAATTCGTGGGTCGATCACATCAGATAGGGCCCACAAATTATAACTACAGTTAGTAGGGCCCCCTAGTTATAAGTTCGTTCATAAGCCCCATTAACTATATATATATATGTATATATAATATATACATATATCTACCATAAACCATACTTAACCTACTCATAAACCAACTTAGATATCCTTCGGGGGGGGCCACATTGTATGATCACAACAACCAGTTACTAAGCAACCCAAGTGGGACGATCCACCATCACTGGATACCCTGATTCTGGCTAGTGAAATCAACCAAAAAAAACAGCATCAAAAGCGGTCATAGTTCATGAAAATCAACAAGTATCAAAATATTCATAAAACACTATAATTTATCGACCAAACATCAACATCGAGAAAAAAACAAAAAAACATCATCAAACAAACAAACCTCCATTTCAAAAAAACAAACCAGTTCATACAACAGTTCATAAAACATCATAAATCCACCAAAAGAATCCACCAAAAAATCCACATCTTCAACAAACCATTGGAAGATTCACAGATTCCAAGCTCCATCTAAACGGCCCAACTGAACGCTATCATTTTTGTTCAGCCACCAAAATCATGCAAAATCCCAATAAATCACCATGTTTCATGGTGAAACCACCATTTTCCCTAGGGTTTCCCTCGGGTTTCCCTAGAGGGTTGCCCCGCCACCCGGGTCTCCAGCGGATTCCAACTCTGCAGGACTTCCGTTTCGTAGCGCACCGAGGCCGCGATCAACGCCTCGGTGGATTTTAACCGATGTTCGCGGCACGGTGGCCATGGCGGCCATGAGAAGATATGGAGGTCATATGGGGATGGGTCAAAACCGTGTACCCCTGTAGTTCACATCAAAATAGCTGGGATTTATGGATGTGAATAACCCCCTAAAAATGGTATTAATAGGTATTGATCCATACCCATATAGAAAATAGACAAAAAAAATGGAGGAACGAATAATTCAACTAGAAAAGCTATAGGAGATTAATAGTTGATTTACTGGTAATTTACGATAGCGATTGAAAATGGCCCATAGAAATAGTTGATTTACCTATTCAAGATTGTGATGTTCTATAGCTATGTTAGTTTACCAGAGGGTATCTGATTTAAATATTTTTTGATGAACACATGGGAATTCAACTACTTGGTGGCGAACTACTCACGGATCGGACGTAGGTTAGTTCACCCTAGAAGTGGATTAATTAAGCCTACATGTCCCACTCATAATCAGGGGCATGACCGATTTATATAGTAAGTGGGAGGAGCCACCAAGTAATGTTAGACATGTATATGTTATACATATAGCTGGTATATTTGGCGTAGCCAAGATGTTTGAATATACTTCGTATGAAACTCATAAAATCATGGCCTAATAAACATGACACATGTGGGATATGATGTAGCCAATATACCGTATATTATATTTTTCATATGTCGGACACTGTGGATGGTTGCGAAATCTTGCACCACTTGGGATTCCTATTAGGTAACCAATGAAACACTGAAACACTGAAACATTATGGGATCAGAGGATTTCTACAGTTATGGCCCAACTACCATCTGGTTATTTGTTACATAGCCATGGAAAATCACCATTTTTAAGGACGGTAAACCATCTATTTCCATGGGCCATCTATACCATGGCTATGTTAAATAACCAGAGGGTAACACTTATTTTTATGGGCTTACTTCATGATATATTTCACCGACTAGTTATAGGAGTTATTTCATTCCATTTAAGGCCCTGTTAGTTACTGTTAGTTGGGCCAAAACTGTACCATCTACCAACTGCTGCAGGATTTCGCATCTCCATCAAAGGTGCCTTGCTAATTCCCGAACGAAATGGAGGTTTTTCTTATATGGGAACATATAATAAAAATATGGGAAAAAATGTTTTCCAATTCCATGTTTGATTGCTGGAGGGTATAAATCTTGATAGCTCAATCTCTCTGACTACCACACTTTGATTGGCGTAACGCCATGTAAAATAAACACAGTTTACAGCTTAGACAATCACATTTTTTTATCATATACCGCATATACAATATATCTGAGATATCTGTAATATGATGGTAGTCAAATTTATTTTGATTCCATTTGATGTTGGTAAGAGTCTCACTTGTTCAATAGTTGTCCTGCAACATGTCTATCTTCTGGTCAAAAAGGATCAACACAATCAATATTATACTTGGAAAATTCTGAAGTTCTTGTAAAGTATCAATATATGATGTGTTGATAAAACGTAATAACTCACCAACCTGCAATGTTCAGCCATGTGGGCATGATTCCCCTTGCTTATCCAGCTATAAATCACACATTTCATAGCAAAATACCCTCTGGTCATTTCACAGATTTTTTCTATGAAACTATGGCCAATTTAGCTCTGGTTGGTGGTTTCAACCATCTTGAAAATATTAGTCAGTTGGGATATTATTATTCCTAATATATGCAAAAATAAACATGTTCCAAACCACCAACCAGGCTTTAAAAGCTTTGCCTGAAAATAGGCTAGCCCTAAATCCCCACAGTTACGTATAGTTACTCAATTGGTTTTCCTATGAATATGGCCATTCCATAAAGACACACCCAAACCTCCAAGGATCATCCACTTTTCAGGATGGAACATGTTTCAACCATCAACCAGATTATATGAATAAACGTCTAAGCAAACACATGTAAAAACCGCTGAAGTGATACATAATTATTAAAAAAAAAATGAGTACTCGAGAAACGCTTCAGGTAGGCATCTTTGTCGATCTTTCAAAATATGTGTACTTGCATTCAAATCCCGTCGGCGACATCATCGCAGCTGACCGATACAGACTGCAACACTAAAGTCTGAAGGCTTCTTGGAAAAGTCACACCCTGCAGGCTCTGGTTGAACCCATCGCCAAGTGTCAAGCTTTGCAGAGTGCTTGGGAAGGTGACACCAACCAGGCTTTGGTTGAAGGCACCACCAAACGTCAAGCTTTGCAAACTGCTTGGGAAGGTGACACCAACCAGGCTTTTTAGGTTGAAGGCACCACCAAACGTCAAGCTTTGCAAACTGCCTGGGAAAGTCACACCAACCAGGCTTTGGTTGAAGGCACGACCAAACGTCAAGCTTTGCAAACTGCTTGGAAATGTCACACCAACCAGGTTTTGGTTGAAGAGCGTCAAGCTTTGCAAACCACTTGGGAATGTCACGCCTTCCAGGCTCTGGTTGAAACTATTGCTAAGCGTCAAGCTTTGCAAACCACTTGGGAATGTCACACCAACCAGGCTTTTGTTGAAGGCACCAACAAGCGTCAAGCTTTGCAAACCACTTGGGCATGTCACACCAACAAGGCTTTTGTTGAAGGCACCAGCAAGCGTCAAGCTTTGCAAACTGCTTGGAAATGTCACACCTTCCAGGTCCTGGTCAAAATTCAAACCAAATGTCAAGCTGTGCAGACTGCTTGGGAAGGTCACACCTGTCAGGCTGTGGTAGAACCCAGGGCCAAACGTCAAGCTTTGCACACAGCTTTGCAAGTTCGTTCCTCCACGTTCTCGTCACAATGAAAACCAAGCGTTACACTATCCAGACTTCCTGGGAGAGTCACAATCTTGTTGAATTGATGACCAATCAAGAAGCTGTGCAAACTGCTTGGGAAGGTCAATGCCTTGTGGGGTCTTGTTGCGATCATTTTGAACCGTAAGACTTTGGAGACTGCTTGGGATGTTCTTAATGTGTAGGTTTTCCCTGTAACCACTGCCTAGCGTCAAGCTTTGCAGGTGGCTCGGCAAGGTCACACCGTCCAGGTTTTGGGAAAAGTCACAACCAAATGTCAAGCAGTGCAAAGTACTTGGAAAAGTCACACGCTGAAGGTTCTGGTTGAACCTATCACCAACTGCCAAGCTTTGCAAAGTAGCTGGGAAGGTCACACCCTCCAGGTTCTGGTTGAAGCGAAAACCAAATGTCAAGTTTTCAAGTGACTTCCACTTAAACCTGGAAGGCTTGACGCTGCCAACCAGTCTTGAAATTTTCAAGACTGCTTGGCAGCGTCAAGCCTTCCAGGTTCAGGTTGAAGTCATGACCAAATGTGAGGCTGCGCAAACTGCTTGGAAAAGTCACTCCCTCCAGGCTTTGGTCGAAGTCACAGCCAAGAGTCAAGCCTTTCAGACTACTTGGAAAGGTCATGCCCTTCAGGTTCTGGTTGAACCTATCGCCAAATGCAAGCTTTTCACATTGCTTGGAAGGGTCACGCCTTCCAGGCTATGGTTAAAGCTATCGCCAAGCGTCAAGCTTTGCAGACCACTTGGGAAGGTTACCCCCTTCAGGGTCTGGTTGAATGCATGACCAAACGTCAAGCTTTGCAGACCGTTTGGAAAAGTCACGCCCTTCAGGTCCTGGTTGAAGGCATCACCAAACGTCAATCTTTGAAGGCTTTCTGGAGGTTGTGCAGGTACGGCACCCTTTATGCATGTGACCCCGTCCAACGCAAACGCGTCATCTCTGCTGGCCTGTTCCTGAATGAAGGACCATGCAGTGCCATGCAGCATGCAAATTTCTTGGGCAGAAGGTGTATGTCAGTGTTGCTTCCTCCACAATACCTTGCTCTTGCAAGGTCTTTTCGAGCACCAACTGCCAAATCCCATGATGGAGAAAAAACCTTGTACCAGGCTTTGATGGAAGCTTCTCCGCGACCATCTGTCGCACTTCACGGCCCAGAGTGGCCGCAGGGAGCTTCGTATGTATCAACTCTTCCCCGCTGAAGCCGCAAATGTGGAGCTCAACCAGGGCAGGTCGACCCAGTTGTTCACCCTGGTCGGCATCAGGCGCGGCAACATAACCAAGGCTGCTCGACATTGCAAGGCGGTTAAACTCTCTTGCTCAGAACATAAAAACCAAAACCAGGAATGTCTTTTGAGGTTTCAAACATCGGAAAAAACGGGGCATCAATGGACCCATAAAATTGATCACGAGTCATCAGTTCTATCAGTATATATCATCCATTTTGGGTGGTTGACAAGGTCCAACTGCAGGGACTGCTCCAACAACGTCATGCGAAATCCTTCTGTACGTTTTCAGAGTAATTTTTCAATTGGTGGACACATATTCCATCTGGGCATGTCTGAACATTGGGCAAAACCCCCAAATGGCCAGTTTATATATAGTGAGCAACCAATGGATTTCGGGGTACGCTATTTTTAAGACAACTCCATATGCTTACACGATGTGTATGGATTATTTTGGATTTTCATCTGTGCTCAAGAGAACCCAAACTTAATCAAGCTGTACGCTGTGGCCGGAAAAAAAAAAGAACAGGCGGCTCAAAAACAGATGTCAGCGATGTGCATCACTGTTGGTGAATGATTTACAGTACAACGGGTGATATTCCATATGTATGTAAGTGGTGATATAACGTGTAAATATAAATATATGTATATATATATATATTGCAAATATAGTTATATACACAGATGATAAGCCTGGTGATGTTCCACATGCAACTCGGTTATCTGGTTCTTAATCCCTTACTAACTGGTTTGAAGACTCGCATCCCAGTTCATCAGTTGCCATGGTCAAGATATGGGATGAAGGTGGCGAACTACCCACGAATCCTAAGTAGTTTATATATATATATATATATATTTGTATATATATATGTATGTATGTATGTATGTATGTATGTATGCATGCATGCATGTATGTATGTATGTATATACATATATCATATATGTATATAAATATATACGGGCCACGGTCAATATTTGGTATATAGCTCCAAGTCATCAATTGTTGAAGAGTGTATTGTCGTTTTTGAGGTTTTGGTATATAAGCAAATGTTATCGTTTTTTGAAGAGTGTATTATCGTTTTTCAAGCGCCCCACCTCAATTTCCCAGAAATGAAGATGTCTCGAATACTAGTCTCCATTAACCTAAATTTTGGCTGTAGCTCATATGCTTATATAGTGTTGTTAGCGGGATTTTTATAGGGTCAATCTACTTACAACTAGGGTTTTTTCTTCCTGGTTGGTGGTTTCAACCCCTCTGAAAAATATTAGTCAGTTGGGATGATTCTTCCCAATATATGGAAAGTCATAAAAATCCATGGTTCCAAACCACCAACCAGCTTCACATGTTACAACCTACTTACGATCCCTGAGTAATTCGCCACCAAGTACCAATGCTTTGTGTATTCCCATTCCCCGGATGCACCAGTTGACCCAGTACCATATGGAGGTTTCCATAAATGGAGCTGGGCTGGTGGGCCCCAAGAAATGACTAGAATCTTTTGGGGTACCCCCGCATTCCAGGAAACCTCCATATGGTTCTTACAGTTCTGGCCCAACTAACAATTATAAATGGGTTTATCATGATAGATAGATAGATAGATATATATATATATTATGTTCCCTTATAGGAATTATAATTCCGTTTACAAGTGTTACAATGAGGGGCCCCCAAGATAGCTAAGTTGCTTCAGAACTACAATGTCACTAGGGTTTATTGTAGTTGTACCGAACTAGTGAGATGAGGTTATAAACTAACAACACCAGCAAACATAATTAGCGGGCCCCACATTGTAATAACTATGCAAATTATATTCCCCATAAACCCAAACTGTGACGTTAGAGTTATTTGCCTTAACTTAGCTATCATAAGTCATAAGTCATAAAGCAGCTATACAATCCCATTACTGGTGGGTGGTTTCAACCCCTCTTTTAAACATATTAGTCAGTTGAGGTTATTATTCCCAACTGAATGGAAAAACAAAAATGTTCCAAACCACCAACCAGATTATCATTATAGTTAATTCAGTCATTACTATAGTAATCCTATAACTATCCATGACATTACAATGATTCATTGTGATACCATGATTATAAAATTCCATGGTCCCAAACCACCAACCAGCAAAGACATAAATCAGCTATACAATCTCATTATATTGGACCGTATGTTTTTTTTTAAACCGAGAAACAGGAGCACTGGGCGGTTGCTGCCCAGTGGTCGCCGAAAACGCGGATTCCGCCCAGGTGCTAAAGAATTCCTGGAAGTTCTGGGGAGTTGTTCGAGGGATTTAGTGGAATGTGTGGTGATTTTCTAGTGGATTTGTTTGAAATTCTGCAGATTTGGTGGAAAGTCTGATGATTTCACAGAGGTTTGTGGATTTTTGCAGGGTTTTCTAGGGATTTGGTGGATTTGTTTGGGATGTTCCAAGGATTTGGAGGAATTTCTGGTGATTTTCTGGGGATTTAGTGGGATTTCTAGGTATTTCGTAGAAATTCTGGGGTTTTCTAAGGATTGATAATTGAGAATGGTATTTATGGTTGGAAGTTAACCAACAAAAATATAGATTTGAGATGATTTAAACAACAACAATCATCGATTCAGATGAGGATTTTAAGCAAACTCTCGTTTCAACGAGAAAAATGCTGAACACATTACTTACAAACTGCAAGAAACAGGGTGTCAACCAGCACAAATATGGGGTAGCACATCATGATGGGGAGACCATGGGATTGAATAACCAACCACGGGATTCTATGCATATAAATATATATATATATTCTAGGTATATATATATATAATTAAGTGTATGTATGTATATATATACACATGTATATACATATACAGTGGATTAAAAACTCATTTTCCCATCGTTTCCGTCATAGCCACGGCATCGTCACGCCTGGTCGTGTGCACCAATCAGCAAACACTTCACGCGCACGCGCGCGCGGAAGGTGGAGGACGAAGGGCGGATCCCTGTGGCCTCGGTCCACTGGCAGAATGAGGTAAAGTCCTGAATATGTACACATTTATACTATATGATAGTGGGTTATACCATATGGTGGTTTGAACCATCTTGAATAATAGTATTAGTCAATGGATTATCCCATATTATGGGAAGAATGTTTGAAACCACCAAACAGATATATATATATATGGCTTGCAACTTACAACTATAAAGTTGGGTAATTAATTACTTGGGATTGTACCACGGTCCTCCTAACTGCTTAGGGCTTAGCAACCGTTATAACATTATTCTATGGGATAACCCAATAGGGACCTAGCGCGGGTTTGACAAACCGCTAAGTGGGATGATCCTCCAACTAACCATCAAACATATGGGGAAGACTATGCCCAATAGGGGATTTCATACAATGTGGTGTCCCATAGATAGCTAAGTTAGTTTATAAGTTCCATAACTATGGTTTATGATACTTATAACTATAGTCAATGGTGTTTATAGCCAACAAACATAACTGGGGGACTGGGGGGCCCCACATTGTAGGGGATATAACCATCAAACATATGGGAAAATAGTGATTTGGCCGTCAAACATGTGAATTGAATCTCTAAGAATGAGAATATATAGGGTTTTGTAGGATTTTGATTATCTGTCTTTGGGGGTTGCTATAATATATAAAATTTCTAATTCATGAGCTCTCTGGTTGATGAAACATTCGGCAGTAGGGTTGCTTGTTGAACCCACCTTTTTTTGGGAGGTTCTTCAAGGTAATTGTCCTTGTGGCGCTTCCTGTATTCTCCTCTGCTTTTTTGAACCATTGCTTGAAAAGCAGACTTCCCCGGTCGATTCAATCGATCAGAGCAAATACAGCCGGTAGGACGCTGTTGCATATAAAGCTTGGGTTTGATGAACCAAATTGTGGGATCAAATGGTGGGTTTCTTCTACATTTTGGATGATTTTGGCCTAAATCCGGGAGGTTCAGTCATTAGACGAATCAGGTTCAAATACAAAAGGAACATCCAGAATTGATCATAATTCTTGATCATAAATTATCATACGATGAAACAGTATAAACATCATAGGATAGGGTCAATGTGATTGTCGATACGAGTGCAGTGTTTGGGCAAACTCAAACTAATCTCCAACCAACGAAGTACCATACTCAGAGGAGTCATGTCACATGTCCACAACTCTGGTGTCATCCCCGTCTTTTGCTTCGTCAACAGCCTAGCATAGTTACAGTCCGAATTTGTCCGAAAATTTGGTACCCCAAAATCGAATAACTTTTCCCACCAATCTGTCCATTTTGTGGATGTCCCCCCTCTGATTAAGACATACACCCCCAGCTTTGAACATCTGGCTGAATTGTAAGAACTCGAACTCCCGAACCTAAAGATATCTGATGATTCCCCTTGCGAATCAACCATCATTAACGTCACTGTGCGCTCCTTACAATCCACCCTTCACTTGTTTTCAACATGTTTCTTGTGCAAAAGTCAAAGCTCGGTCTCACCAAGCCCTGATTTTTTAGTCGCCCCACTGGTTGCCCAGTTTATGTACAGTGGCGCTTCCGCCAACGACGACTCGGTCAATTCTGAGGCTTACCATTAATGGAAGCGTGCAAGTCGGTCCTAGAGTTTTGGGGGAAGGAGAAATCATGATTGTACATACCTGTATATTTCATGCAAGGTTCAATTTGTGTATTTTTTCCTCGGAAATCTCATAAGTGAATTCGAGTTTGAACATGTGAGCCACGACAATGCCTCCTTTGAAAGACTCAACTGGTGCATTAGAAATACTGGGCATGGTTACCCTGTATATCCACTTAGTTCCAAAATGTGGAGCACCCTAGTTATAAGTTGGTTTATAACCCCATCTAACCTAACTATAGTTATAACTGCCACAAACCCTAGTTATTGTAGTTATTTGGCCCAACTGAACGCTATCAAACGGGGGCCCCACATTGTGGAACTGCACCCCCAAGTCCCCAAGTAGTGTCGTCAGACGCGGGAAAATTCACTGACAAAAGTGTCACTTGGCCCAGCATTTCCTTGGCGCTCTGGTTCTTCACAGGGCACTAATGCTGGTAGATAAGCCAATGCAAAAACAAGTCCTGGGGGACCATCATCACACTTCTGGGATTTGTTTAGGGAAATGGAATTGTCAACAAATACTTGAACATCACAACCCAATGATATATCGGTTAACTATCATAAACCATAGTTATTGAACTTATAAACTAACTTAGCTATCTATGGGGCACCACATTGTATGTATCATAAAGTGTTTACCAGCTTAGCTAACTGTGGGGCACCACCTTGTAGGATTTTGATCTTCAGTGTTTATTCCTTGTAGGTGTTCACCTAGGATTTCGCAACTTTGGCCAACTATATCGATCATTAAAAATTATCCCCTTCCAACAAAAGGGGGGCCTAAGATAGGTAAGTTGGTTTACAACTAGGCTAACTACAATGTGGGCCCCCCTAGTTATATGTTGGCTTACAAACAACATTGACTATAGTTTAAAAAAACACATAAACCATAGTTATTGGACTTATAAACAAACTTAGCTATCTATGGGGCCTCACATTGTAGGGACCTTCTTATAGAAATCATCTGTAATCAGGGACCGGAAAAAAAACGATCCTCCGCCTTGAAATTGTTTCAAGTCCCACATATGTCCAGCATTACATCCCAATGTTCATTGTGGGGTTGTCTGAAATGTCACCAAAAAATCTAAGGTTTAAAAGTTTAAAACTTCAGTTTCCTCATATTATTTGCCATCAATCGGACTAAATCCCACATTTTCAGGCACCAAACCCTGCTGATAAACCAACCTTCAACCACTAAAAAAACAACTTAGAAACAACTTCTAAGCAAATCTTAGATATCACAATCCTTACAAATAACACAAAACAAAACAATATTTTATATGTTCTAATGTTTTCCTATAAACCATTCACCAACGGCACCCTTCCCCACTGTGTCCACGCCACGGAAGTGGCCTCCACAATCCGGCGCGCCCCAGGCGATGATGACGCCATCGGCGCGAAGAGCCGCGAAGGCGGACGTGGAGGCCTGCCCCGGTGCCGGAGATTCGTTGTTAACTAAGTGTATGTTAACGATGTGAACCATATGCTAAGTAGTTTCTAACCAATCAATACTTCTTGTAACGTGGGATGTGTTTTTTTCCCCAGCAGATTGAACCAACCAAAATGATAGATTTCATAGGATAAGAATGGGATTTAATGGAATAATATTTGAATTCAATGGGATTTTGAGATACTTAATTCACCAAACACGAGGATTCAATGGGATCTAGTGTGGATTTAAGTTGGATAATCATGGGATCATAGCGGAACTGCTGCCATTTTCTGTGGTGAAACAAGTGCAGCCTTGGTTCCAATCTGGCGCTCCGAGGTCTTTTGTTTCTTTGGTCGTTTAACCAACAACGATAGGGATTTACAGGGATATCATTGGGATGATCTAACCAGTAACTTTCACAATATCAATATGTTGGGACTGTCCTATTCATCACCCACCATGATACCTACTATTGAGTTTATATAACTCTGGTAATAACAAAACAAGGATTTTATGGAATTTTGTTGGGGATATGATTGGGATGTCATGGGATAATACTGGATATAATAGTGATCTAACCACCAATAGTAGGAAATCTGTGGATAATTCTAATCCAATAGCAACCAGACCACAACAAGGATACAATGGGCATATATGTTTAATGATGAAACACCATCCAACAATACTGTAATTTATTAAGTTTAGTAAATCTACTATTAACAATGGTAAGATAATAATGCAGTTTATGATATGTCATTTGTTGTTTTAACCACATATTTATCTCACATATCATCAATGGAAGTCGGATATTAACTTGGGATATTCACGTTGCATCGAAATGACACATCCCACTATATTCCACTATAGTGTTTGAGGTATTCTAGGTTTAGATAGTGTCTCTTAATATCAAATCATAAAACGTCAAACGTCTAATATTTTGACATAAATTAGATATGTAAACTGTAAACTAAACATCAAACTATTACAAACTGTCTATATGAACTCACTAGAACTTAGGTTTAAACAACATATGAAACTCACTAGAAGTTAATAGAAGTGTTTAGACTCCTTAAACTAGGAGTCATGAAAATTCACTGCCAATAGTACTAATATTAAAACGAGGAGTCAATCATCAAATTCAATTTGACATTAGTTTATTGCATAATACCATATATTTTTGGATATACCAGAATCGATTTCTTGGATGATACCAGAATAAACTGTCCTATTCAATCACAATATTGTTTCAATCATCAATTTTGCATCCCAATTCTGATTTCCACCGCAACCTTGGTGGCTCATCGCTGTTAGGGGACTTCCCATGGCCATGCTTGAGAAAACCAGAAGCTAAATCCCATTGAAATCCCATTAAATCTTATTAAAATCCCATGAAACCCCATGAAATCCTAAAAATCCAACTATATATATATATCCCATAAAATCCCGTTATATAAGTCCCATAAAATCCCAATATTTTCCCAACCCTCCATCGCCTGGATCTGTTGCACTTTCACCAGCTGCCCACGCACCAGACTTGAGTCTCCACCCCTGGCGCTGTCGCCCCAAGTCACCACCTGTCAAGGCACGCGCTCTGGCGCTGTCATGGTTGGTGGGAAAATAGCCATGTTCAACTGATGATTTAACCAACCAAAATGATATGTTTTAACGGGATTTAGGAACATGGTTAGTGGAAAAAACCATGGCCAATCTTAGATACCTTGTAACCATACCCACTATGATATAACCAACGGTTTTATATTTGAGTTTGTCTGAACATAGGGTACATCAAATTATTTCCAATTCCAATGGGTTATTATCATTACCCCTTCTTTTAAGTGAACATTTGGAGGCTACAACCCTATTCTCAGACAAACCCATTTTGGTACTGTTATACATCTAGCAATATATGATAACCATACACTTTTAAACGCGCACTATAGTTATATACAACCATATCTTAATGATGTGAACTAAAGTTGTAACACGGCCAATCTTAGATACCCTGCAAAAAAATGACAAATTCTTAGCTGATGAACGATCCTATTGATACCAAAAGACTAAAGGATTTGTTTCTACCCATCTAAGATGGACCTAGAAATAGCCATGGAAATCACCAATTTCATGCTGGAAATTAGCGAATCCCATGGGCGTGTGCAGGAAGGCATTGATCGACGCGTCGATTGAAGGCTAAGAACTTCCACCAGTCCGACGGGTTGGACGTCATTTTTCGGCTCCACATGGGTGGTGTCACGTCGCCTTTGATCGCCTCCATGTTGCCGTTCGGTGTGAGATTCATGATGAGGCGGAACACCTAAAAGGGACAGCCCGCTCATCTTTTGCACCAAAAAAGCCCATGGAGAAGTGGCCGTTTTTTTTTCCCTGGAAGATTTTCTCGGCTCGCAGGTATACACCTTCACCCCTGCATCTACTACCCTCTGGTGATTTGATACAGTTCGCCATGGAAAGATCCACCCATGCTATGAAGAACAGTAAACCATCTATATTTCTATGGTAATTACATCATTTTTAATGGTCCATAGAAATAGATGGTTTACCGTTCTTAATAGCATGGTGATTTTCCATGGCGAACTGGAACAAATCACCAGAGGGTAGTCCTTGGCAAACGGCCAAGCCTCCACCGGCACCGGCGCCAACCCGGGACTCATGATTTCACAATAAATTTGCAGCTGATTATCGTACAGTGTATGCCGGGAAGGTCAACAAAAAATGGTTTACCCATGTTAATCATGGTTTATGATGTATATATATAGTGGCCCCCCCAGTTATGTGAATGTTGGTTTATAACCCAATCTAACTAGTTCGGCAACTAACTACCAGAAACCCTAGTGAAATTGTAGTTATTTGGCCCAACTTAGCTATCATAAATCAGCTATAAATCCCATTAAATTCACATTTTCCTATGGTTTCCTATGGTCTTGGGGGCCCCACTTTGTGTATATATATATATATGTATATCTCGATAGCTGATGGGTTCCCCAACTGGTTTCCTGAAAGGGGGGGTACCCCCAAATCATCAATCTTAATAATAAACCCTGCATTTTGGGGTACCCTATCTTAAAAAAAAAACATATCACCAAACAAATGCAACTTAGCTATCAGAAATCAGCTATAGATAGCAATAGCTAAGTATGTTTAACCTAAAATATGGTGATTATAACTTAACCCATTAAAAGCACATTGAATCACCATATTTTGTCTGTGTTAAATCACAAGCGAAGTGCCTTGCCATCGCCACGGAGCGCTGCGAAGGCAGCACCAGAGGCCTACAGAAATGAGGGGTCGCCATGACTCCCGCCAGATGACAACCAAGAAAACGTAGGATAGATTATGGGTATACTATTATAATATAATGGAATATCATGGACTATAATAGAATATCATGTTTGGCTATGTATATTATATATATACATACACTGTGTATGTATATATATATATATCTATGGGTAAAGTACGGTAAACTATCATAATTCACTAACCCGAAGTTTGATGCCATTTTAAGGACATATTTGGGGATAAGTGTCCCTACTAAGCATCATTTCAGTAAGGGGAGAACAGTGAAGTTGTCGTTGTAATTTACCCAGATCGATGATGTGTTCATCATAAATTCCAGGTGTTCAATTGTTCTCTGTATTTTGGGATTATGGGATTGCTGTCATTGCTGTAGCCAAAAATAGTGTGGTAGGTGCCCCTATGAAAAAACAAAATGGCGAACACAATGGATCAAAACAGTGGATGTGATTGTTTTGTTTTAAAATTGAAATTAAAAACTGAAATATGGGGCATGGTTAAGCGCCTTTTGTCAACCTGAATGGACTTGTGGGTTTATTCAGTTTATTTGCTTGGAGTCGGAGTTGGCTGAACAAATATGTCTTTAACTGGTTGGTGGTATACCTACCCCTCTGAAACATGATGGAGTGAAAGTCAGTTGGGATGATGATTCTTCCCAAGATATGGAAAGTAAATCCAAATTCCATGGTTCCAAACCACCAACCAGTTGAGGCTTTAAGGCTTTCAAGAAAACATTGGCAAATCTAAATTATGGATAGGAAGCTCATTTCGCAGCTCCAACTGGCTCCCCATGGCTTTGGAATATGAATACGCCTAGCTCCGAGTCGCTCCTTCCTAACCACTGGATAGCCAGAACCACCAATCCAAAATTCGATCTATTTTTGTTGCTTAAACATTGGCCTATAACTTCTATAACCACCAACATTGCCAACATTAATTTCTATCTCCACCTAGTTTCCATATCTTTTTTGAATCCATGGTGGCCCAAGATGATCCCAATGATACCCTTCACCCTTTCTGCCTGAATTTGCTGCACATCTCGCAAATCGGATTGCACCTGGCCCCCCCTACAGGTGGTGGCTGAGTGGGCCCAATCGCTAAGTTGGTAGATGTAATTAGACAAAGTGGTGGGTTTCTGGAAAATATCTCGAATTATAACTGTTTAACGAGGGCAGCCATCTTGTAATTACTTCAACCCAACCAAAACATTGGTATATATATATATATATGTGTATATATCATAAATAGGTATACAATGGTATACAGCTAGTAGGGCTGCACTGAATCACCGTACAAGTTGAATCGTCGTGCAATGTGTTGAACTACTTAACCTCGCATCGCACGTAAGTATCCTGAACCCAGACACAATTTGACATGACTTATGCATGAATGACGCATCTTTATCTCCAAACTCCAGTCCAAAGCACATCAAATCTGGAAACCTCCCAGTTTTCTTAAATCAATTTTCTTGGTTAGATCATGTTAGATCAAGATCTTTGATGGTTAAAACACCGTTTTTAAAACGGCGAACCTTTCCATTTTCCCGGGTAACCAGCCGACCGCCGTCCAAACACCTGGCTGCTGTCGCCACCGCGTACGGCATCCCCCCAGGTGATCACGGAACCATCGCGGCGAACGGCTGCGAAGGCGCTCAACGAGGATTGGATTTGCTGCACATCGCCTCCGTCGCAAAAAACCGGCCGCTGCTGGTCAGTGGATTTGTGAAAAATGGTTGGTGGTTTGAAGCCCTGTGAAAAATATGGAACTATATGGGGATTATATGGAAATTATATAGGATTATATTGAGATTATAAACGCTATTAATCATTCCCCATGGGATCCATGGTGCTGGTATATATATGCTAACATTTGGGGTATATTGATGGGATCCATGTTACCATATATAGCAGCACCATGGATCCTATGGGTTATAGTCAATCATGATCCATTTATAGTAAATTATTAATCATAGTGATTATTAGTTTAATCCCACAATGATCGTGAGTATTAGTGGATTTGGGGTGGAGAAACCAATGATCCAGCGATCCTTACCCTCTGGTAATTTGTTACAATTCGCTATTGAACATGGCCCGTAGAAATAAATGATTTACCTATTAAAGAATGGTGATTTTCCATAGTTTTTGTGGTTGGTAATGCAATAACCATCTTGAAAAATATGAAAGTCAATGGGAAGGATGACATCCCATATATGAAATGGAAAATAAACCATATTCCAAACCACCAACCAGTCATTGTTGCATTAAACCATCAACTATATTTAATCAAATGTGTGTAATTCCAGAATGATCATGATGGTTTTATGCTATACTTGTATAACATCACACCATTCAGTGGAATATAAATAAATGACGGACAATTATACAACTATACGCAATAATTATTTTAATAAACCGTTAACAATATAACAATCATTTTAATAAACCGTTTACTATATAATATCAATCAACTACCAGTAGTTACTAGATTATTAATATGGGATTAAAAAGGGTAGTGCTGCGGCCATGAAAACCAATACGCTAAAACTGATGCACGTGTTTAACAGTCAGAGTTGTAGTGGACAAACCGCATGAAAACAATTAGTGATGCGACCATGAAAAAGACTCATTAATCAACTACTGATCATGATGGGATTAAACATATGGTTTGGACTTGAACGGTGGTGGATTGAGTGGTGGATATATGGATTACTAAACTTGCAAGTGGATTGCCAAGTGGACTTGTATGGTGGATATACATGGGGGTCTCTTAAGATCAGAGAACGCCAAGTCACCATGGGTTTCAATACTGGTCTCATTGGGATGTTGTGGAAACTTCCATATACTCAATGGCCATGCAAAAGGAACCCAAATTGGGGGTACCTACCATATATATATATATATATATATATATGAGGCCTATGTAAGGGCTATGTAAGGATATGGTACAGTATCTTGGAATTCCCATTGATATACACACAATCGCACACAATGTATCGTGGATTCTTTTGTCGGATGCACCCCCTAATCAAGTCCAACAAAGTTGCAAGCGATGGTTGCACGAACGATACAAGGTCGTGCCACCCCCAGTTATCTTTGTTGGATTTTGTTGGTTTATAACCCCCATAAACTAGTTGGATATATCTATTACCCCAATAGTTAACCTAGTGAACAAAACCTACTTAGCTGTCATAAATCAGCTATAAATATAATTAAATCAAATTAAATCAACATGTGTTGCCTTTGAAATCCCCATTTTCCCAGGGAATTTACCGGAAACTGTGCAACCACCAAACGGGTTATCCATTTACCTTCAGAATATTTCATAGGTTTGACAACCCGCAGACAATTCTTTGACCAACACAGCTCTTCCCCATCTTTCCAAATATTGGCTGAACATATACCCTCTGGTTGTTTAACATAGCTATGGAAAACATTTTATCAAATACTAGTAGGTAAATCATCATGAATCATCGATAAGGGGGGTCGTTTTCCAAAGCTATGTTAAATACCCGGAGAGTATCGTATTTACTGTACCATCCAAAGAAATCAGCATCACATATCACCATGTATCCATATCTGTGACTATAAATCACATGATGCACAACATGTGGATTGTCTGAAACTGCTGGTTGATCACAAATTCTCAAACTAAAATTGCCATTTGTATATTTTTTCCATTTTCAAATAGACCCACTTGCCGATTCTCAACAATCGTCCCATCATCACGCAATCTGCTCCCAAGTGACGCAATTGCTGCTGTACTGAGCCTTATTCTCACAGACATCAAGAAAAAGGTTTTGTTTGGGAAAACTGCTCTGGTTGGTGACGAAAAAGTGCCTTGAGCTCGCTGATTGATGTGTACAATTCCGTAGTGACTTCATAATCCTCTAAAATTCACATGGAGGTTTCCGAAGTCACAGGGCTACCCCAATAGCTGGATGGTTGATAATTTGGTTTTAATGGAAAATCGGAACATATAATTTACAAAAATGGATGAGAACTGGGGGTACCACCATGACTTCGGAAACCTCCACATGCAATGGTATGAACATCTTCCCCGGAATTGGTTTACTTCCGCCTTCCGCTGAGAGAATTCCACCAACCCCATCCCTTCCAAACTCCCATCTACCGTAAACCCTCTATATATAATATTCCATAAACCTGATTGTTAAGCAACAAATGCTGAGTAGTGATTCCATGTTGCCAAAACTCTATATATGTTAATCAACTTTGTAGTCTATATCATTCTATAATAAAATCATTACTGTTACCAACTTCGTAATCTGAGTTTTGGTAACTTACTCCCCGTGCGTGGTCCTCCATGTTTGTTGTTTAAACCCCTGATATCACCATCCCATCAAATCTGTCACTGATTTCAAAACCAATCCACATTTATCTTGGTTAAAACAAAATTATTACTATGGTTTCTACTACCAACATCACCATTCTGAGTCCATTTTGCTGGTTATAATTATCCCTGTCATCCCCATGTTTGATGGTTCATAATTATGCCATATACAGGTCTCCATCCCCCAACAAACTCCATTAAATCACATCAAATCCAATTTAATTCCATTATATCCCATGATCATACCATATCGTACCACTCTTTCTGTTGGTGGAATCCATCACCGTGATGCTATGTAACCACCATGTCTCGTGATATCGGCCACTGACATGCGTATAATCTATATACTAATCTATATACCCAGACTATCAGCATCCAATTTATTGGTTCAATGTGTTTCATCCTATGCTTTTTTGGCTCAACCCATGAAACTCCAAGCAATATCCCATCAATGGATAGGCATCAACCCCCCTGATTGGTCAAATCAACCCCCCATTGATAGCTATAAATATCCTTGACTCCATTGATTGGTTTAATCAATGGATACAAGGTGGTACCCCCCAGTTGTAAGTTGGTAAAAACCATAGTAATTATGCATTTAACTGCCATAAACCAAAGTTATTGAACTTATAAACTAACTTAACTATGGGGCACCACCTTGTATCTATTTAGATATGTTTATCTATCTATCCCATTATATAGTTGGTTATAGCTGAAAGATCTGATAGTATACCCCTCTCATATGGCTAGTATTATCATAACCTATCAGATGGTATCACCCCTATCATAAATCAGAAAACAAAATCTCATTCAACCCACATTTTCCTATGGTTTCCTATGGTCTTACGGGGCACCACCTACAAAGTGGTGCCCCCCAGTTATAAGTTGGCTTATAAACACCATTGACTATAGTTATAAGTATCATAAACTATAGTATCCCTACTGCTTATGAGGGGGGGGCGTGAGCTAATTGTAACTTACATTTTTGGGCACATGCTACCTCAAAAATGTAACTTACATTTTCTGATTTACCTCGATAAATGTAACTTACATTCTTGATGCGCTATCCAGGATTTTTTTCATTTGAAACCTGAAAATTGTAAGTTACATTTGTGAGGCAACATCAGAAATTGTAACTTACATTTTTGAGGTGTGTGGCTGTGTGGCACTGACCTTGATGCCCAACAATTCCCACCCATCGCCAGCATAATCCAGCATACACAAAAATATATATATATATATATATAATCCGTCCAATTTACGATATTTCTTGGGTCGTAACTTATTTTCAAAAATGTAACTTAGCACCTCCTTGGTTCTTACTTACTGTACATTTTGGTAACTCCCCTTGGGGGGGACCAACAATTGTAACTATTCAACTGCCAGGTTCCAACTTATATTTTTATCTATCCCCGACCCCCTGTTCCCCCCCCTGGATTTGGTGCCTCAAGGGGGGGTAAGTTACAATATTTTCCCCCTATGGGGGGTACCTCCAAAATTGTAACTTACACTTCTGACCCCCTCCCCCTGAAAACCATGGCTAAGAGGGTGGGGATACTATAGTTATTGAACTTATAAACTAACTTGGCTATCTATGGGGCACCACATTGTAGTAGGTATCACCCCATCCCCAAACGTTCCCGCGCCAGGCGTCTGCAATCTCCGCCCCTCGCGCCGTCGCCCCAGGTATAGACGCGTCCATCACCGCGCAACGCTGCAAAGGCACCGCTGGTGCATTGGATCTGTTGAACCTGGCGCCGAATTTGGGGCCCCTGTCAGAACCCGTTAACGTTAACGGAACCATAGGAAAAGCGTCAGAACCATGGGAAAACCATGGGAAAATGATGATTTAACCGAGAACACATGGGAATGCGTATGATTTCATGGGATTTTTTAAGCTGATTTATGATAGCTAAAGCATATATAACTCCAATTCCACTAGGGTTGATGGAAATCAGAACTATATTTGCAGACTAGAAATCAACTTAAAACGTTAGTCGCACCTTGGAGAAGGAACTGTTTGGATCCTTCTGGGGAGTGGCAAATCCTAGATATCCAGCAAGGAAAGTCATGAAAATTGGGATAATTTTAATGGTTAGATATGGCTGAGATATGGTTGGGATATATCCAATAATCAATGATTGAGATATTTCATGATCCATATTTAGATATCCAGCGACTCAACATGAAGGCATAGGGCATAGGGTTCAAGCCCATAAGATTGGCATTTGGCACATATATTTAAGCATAAACAACACAACTAATCTTAGATACCTTGCAGGGACTAGGACTTTGAGCAGGATTAGACAAATTATCTGAGAAAAATATACAAAACAAACATGGTGTACAATGTGAGGCCCCCGTTTGATAGCGTTCAGTTGGTGCAAATAAGTCCAATAACTATATATGGTTTATGGTATTTATAACGAACTAGTTACTGGGGCGAATCT